AATTATAAAATTGTATATATCCTTAAGTTTTAACAAATAGAAAAAAATTGTTTATCTTCTATATAAAAAGTGTATTAAAGATCGACCTTTATAAAGAAATAAATAAAATCTACAGTTCTTGGAATTTAAAAGCCGATTTTTTAAATCTATGTGGATCTCTTCCATGTACGATAAGAAGAGATTTACACACATAATATTATATTTCGATTAAATTATAATAATCAGATACGATTAATATCTTTTCTTAAAAGAAAATGTCATTTTTATAAGAAATTTTATATAGAAATGTGATGTCTCATTCAAGATTATTATCTTGATACAATCGTAAGTTGATTCCTATAAACTGCATCCCCTATGTATAAACATCCATGAGAGATTTTACAAATTTTATCTTTCGTTTGTTCTGTATACTATTTATTTTTTAATTTATTATTCAGAAATATTCCTTAACAATTACGACGTTCTTTAAAAGCGAATTTTGGTTGCAAGATCCGCACTGGAACGTCATGTGCCATGCACGCACCTATGCACTTGAAATTCAACGTGAACAGGAACAACGTCGTGGTCGCTATCAAGGCGACACGTGCACGCGTCCTTCCCGAACGGTCGTCGCACGGCATGTTGCTGGTGTCCTGGCAAATCGCGGTCACGCAGGACCATGATTAACGACGACGAGGGACGCTAACGCAGCGTGGTAGCGAGGCGGATGCATGATCGCGCGTCGTCGATCGGTCTCGACTGCCGTCTCTCGATTCCGTTCATTATCTCGCACAAAACAGCAGGATACTTTCACGTCGCACTCTCGAGCGCAATTATCACACCCTGCAATCGGATGCGGGAGCGTGCGACAACACGCCAGCAACAACGTCGATACTAAACATCCATAATCGGCGGGGATGGTCCAAGATTCGCTGTTCCGAGGGATGCGCATGCGGCCACCCCCTGTTCTTTCTCTCTCTCTCTCTCTCTCTCTCTCTCTCTCTCTCTACATCGTCGCTGCTTTCAACCCCAGAACTCCATTTGGTCTATGTGCCACATCTGTAATTCTGGCGAATATACTGGGTGATAATGTTCGCCATAATTGAAAAGTTTACAATGATAAATAAGAAACGTTAAGTGATCAATGTTGAACAGATTCTATTATGTAATAGTAATATCATTTAGCCCCAATAATTAGTATAATATCATTACCAATCAAAATGACATAAATATTAAACAATATGTTTAATTGTTTTATAAAAATTATAGGAACTATAACTCATCAAATTAAATGTGAACAATATATAAAAAAATATAAACGATGTATAATAGAGTTCTATTATTAAAATATTAACAATTCTTTGAACATAATAATACAACACAAACCTCCAAGGGACGTCCAGACGTTTTCTGAACGTCCTGAGGACATTCCCAGAATGTCTCATAAAGTGTGCTGTATGAGATAATATTATTTAGCTATTCAAAGTCACACATAAGTATTAAATATAGTCTTTGATTGCATTAAAAACTGTAAAGACAATTGATCGTCACACAAACTTTTTATATTATAATGTAAATCGCCATGTATCGTATCGAGAGGCTTACTATCAAAGTATTAAATTTTAGTAAGAGATTCTTTGTGCATATCTTAATATCATTCAAGCATTGTCGTTCTTCAAAACTATTCGTAACTATTAAATATAGCGCTTAATGCATTAAAAGTTATAAAGATTGGTTTATTAAATTAAATACAATATAATAGCTATACAAATCCATTATCAAAACTATTAAGTTTTAACGAAAGTTTCTTTCAATTTTTTTATTATTTATAAATGTAAAAAGCGTAAGAAATAAAACGAAACACCCTGTAGAAGGATTCTATATAGAGATGTTATTACGAGAGAAGTTCTGTGAATCACTTTGTTCCCGTTTTAAGCATCTGTGACCTATCTTTCTGTTTCTTTTGGAAAGGTTAATGCAGTAGTACATGAAAATGAAAAATGGAGAGATGCTCAGACACTATTCAGATATTTTATGTGCGAAAAATAAAAACGGCGAAGTACGAATGCGAACTCGAGTACAACTAAAATTTACGAGCTTAATAAAATAATGCAATATGTAGAACAAGATGAGATTAAGTATTATATATATTGGCAGATCTTTTATTGGTAGTTTTATACTATAATTACAATAATAAAATAAGACAAATATATAAAAATTATAGACACATGTCGGAATTAAACAAACAATATCACGTATTCGGAACAAATTCGCAAATCCATTGATATTAAATGCCATTGATAGATATTAATAAATATTATAAATTATGGATATTAATAATAAGTTATTTATAATATACTTCATTTATGAATATTATATATTATATATAGCATTAATTATAATTTATTAGTCAACTGTCTTGTTTGAAAATCCGTCATTTGCGTTCCTATACTTGAAAATAATCGCAGGTAAAAGCTAAGTAAAGTTGAGAACTTTAGACGTATTCGGCATTAACTAATACAGGACGAAAATATATCGCAAATTCTGATTAAAGTAAAACGTAAATATTACGTACAAGTCATCTCACATCATAATTTAAATTAAATTTCTTACTGAACAATTTCTACCGAGCTGTCTTTCCTATTTAAAAACACTTGCAAAAAACGAGAATTAAAGCTGATAATTTCAGGCACGTTCCGCATTACTTAATAATTATTCCAAGGCAGGAGTACTTACGTCGCGAATTATTATGGATGATGAAAACATGCCGAGTGTGCAGGATTTTTCTCAATTGGAACGGCAATTTCGTGAACAGTTTTATGAGTTGCAAAGCAACACGGTAAAATATAATACCACTTACTATATTGATTAATTTGAAGTGTACTTAACCCTTTTACGCCCAGCATGAACCTGTAACGTGTCCTAAATTAACACACGAGAGAGAGAGAGAGAGAGAGAAAAGCAATACTAATAATACACAGAGACTTATAGATATTACAGGATATTTATAGATGTTACAGGATATTTAGAAAATATTTAGGGCGGACTTAAAGGACGACTTCGACCGAACTCCAAACTCAACTTAATTAATCGGAGTGATTAACAAATATTTATACTAGTTAGTTTGCCAACGTGAACAGAATAATTACTGTTTGGTTTTTTAATACTTAAGAAAAAAACTAGATTGGGACGATAAATTATTCAATTAAAATTTTGCAATTTCAGTTAAATTAATCAAATTAATTGATTAAGTTAATTGGAATTTGGACGAAATCACCTTAAACTATTGTGATAGAATGTAGACTAGTATTAAATAGTAGATATAATCAATTTTTGTTTGTTTAATATAAGAAAACAAAGATTACGATATTAGAAAAGATGAATTATACAGTTATATTAATTGTGAAATTATAGTAATTATAATTAATTATGATATAATTGTATTGATTAGAAACTCGATGAAATTAATTTCCAATTAAGTTAATTGGATTTACTTATGCAAAATTATCTTTATGAAAATTACAGTTTTCGTTTCGAAAAAATTCTTTACTTTTTTTGAAAAAGATTCAAAAACTGATTCTTAATGTCTTTTCCAAATTGAGCAGAGTAATAATAATGTTAGAACAAGAGTTGCATCTTTTTTTAAGGAAGAAAAATCTTTCCTATTACGGAATAAATACTGACTTTTTATAGTAGTTTATTCAATTAATTATTAATTATATTATGAATTATGTACATTTCGGGGACAGATTACCCTGCAGACGATGCAGAAGGATCTACTAGAAACTCGTCACGCTTTATATAGTACAGAGTTGAAGCTGGAAAAAGAGCGTGGAGTTTCTCACGAGTTAAAGATGCGCCTGAAAGCGATCACGGAGGTGGCGAACGAGTCGCAGCAACAGCAAACGAAAAATCAGGTCGAGAGTCTTCAATTGCGAATCAAGTATGACGCGATGACGAAGCAATGCGAGTCCCTGATGAGTCAAGCCGCGACCGCGAAGATACACGAGGCTGAGTGTAAAATAAAAATTCGGAGCTTAGAAGAGAAGCTGCATCAGAGGGATGCGAGCAACAAAATAATGGAGCAAGCTTTAAAGAAGCTTCAACGTGACAATTCGCGCGCTATTACCACTATCGATCAGTACGTTTGACCTCGTCGTGAATAAGCCTGTCAAATATTCGCTGTATTCAACTAGAAGCACTTAAATAAAACACTCAATCTTACTCTTTAAATTTTTGGAATGGACTCTCATTTTAAAGAGTGAAAATTGAGCCAATCTTGAAAAAAAGCGGCTCAATTTTCAATCTTTAAGAGAGGTTTCACCTTTCAGAGTGAGATTCACTTTAAAAGCTTTAGGAAGTATTTCTTTATATATAAAGCTTTGTAATATTAAACGTAAAGTTTGTTTTTTATTGTTATGCTGCATTAGACTTTCTTTCTCGTTTTCGTCGAATTTCAAACATATATCTTGTTTCACTTTGAGTACACAAAGTGTACACTAATCCAGCTATAAAAAATAAACCCCTTTAAAACTTGATTTTACACTTGCAGCTTTATTTCTAATCTAAATCAGAATTAAATTTTAATGGCTGATTCTACGATAGGTTTTTCTGCGACGATAACATTAATAATAAAGCTAGAATTTAATCTTGTAGCTTCATAATTCATCATTAACTTTTTAGTAAAATCGCGAAACTTAAAGAGGAGCATCGATACCTGTACAAATCCTGCAAAGAAACTATTATTTTCAACCAACGCTTACAAACTGTGGGTTTGTGTACACATGCGATACATCAAAAGGACAAAGCGAAAATAAAAGAGTTGGAATATATGCTAGCTTCGATGACGATCAGGAACACAGGCTCCGCACAAGAATCCGTAAATTACGATGCGCATTTGAAGATAGGAAAATTACCGCCGCCATCTATATAAAGAATAACAGGACAGGATTTTATCAATAAATGTACTGAAACACGTATTATGTACAGGATTAATAAAAAATGTATTATAATAATCGTTTGTATATTTAAGTATAAGTTGAACAAGTTTTGATGGTAAAAATGCAAATTTGCAAGATGCACATCATGACAACCAGCGAACGAAAGAGATTTGTTTATTTTTTTCTTTTATTGCGGTTCCCTGTAAACGAATCTATCTCTATATGCAAAATAAATCTCATCGGAAGATAAGCCTCGCATAATTCATGCTCGTCTGTCTCTTTCCTTTTAGACCTAATAAAAAATTCTATTACTATCCGTGATATAACAAAATCTATAAAGTTTTTGTTCAATTCGTCACAAGGCATTTTAATTACATCGGTTAATGCTCTAGTACACTTTACGTTTTTCCTGTTAATTTTGTGAAAAAGCTATATCTGCTTAATAACAGTATAAAAACGATTGTGATACCTATACTGCTTAATCTTATTTTTTTTTTTCTTACTTTTAGTCATTGTATGTGATGTTGTACGGTGTGATGTATGTTCCTATGTTTCTATAGACACATGGTCCTCCGATAAAGAGAAACACATACGATATAAATTATATTGAAATATGAATTGCAGAATTTCGTGCATAAGAAATTGTATACTTCATCCCATTGCCATAAAAATTAAGTAACACGTACTTTTACACTCAACAGTGATTTTTCGATAAAAAATCGACCATTACCCTTGATATAAGAAAACCAGAGGAGAAATTGCGTGCTTGATATATCACATGCTTAATACATGACATTTTTATCTGATTCAATAAATTATATTGTATAATAACTTTTTAACCCTAATCGGTATTCGTGTGGATTCGGACATTTTCTTCAATTACGTTTATTTATAATTTTTCACAATCCACATAATTTTAAGATTTTAATCTTATTCCCTCGGATTTTGACTTTCAAAACAAAGAAAGCCGTTGACTTTAAGCAAAGACGCATTAATTTAAAGTACAATGGACCCACAAATTTCAGAGCGAATACCGATTAGGGTTAAGAGATACGATAGGATATAGATCACATCAATAGGATATAAATTCCGTCAACTTAAACCAACGCGAAACTATTTCACCTAACTATTTCCCTTTAATTATATTGATTAACAATAAAATGTTTGCATAACAAATTGTAAAAGTTGCATGAATCAACATTCATGTAATGCACTCACGTATACACTCCCTTTCTATATAATAAAAATAAAACATTTTAATACTTTCTCCTCTGAGGGTTTCTTCGGCAAAAAAATACATTCATGTTTCATAATTTCTGAGTCTTTAATACGATGCGTTTCATTGTCAAGGAATAAACCCACTATATCCGATACTTGAAATGTGAAAAGTTCCACAGAACATCGGTTTTGTTCGACGAAATGAACATAAGTAAATAATGATAGTAAATAGATGCGCCTCCTTGAACAGTTGAAAATATTTGGGGGGTCAGAGTATAGTACAACGGGCGAGCCAACTAGGTGGCTTCCTTTGTGGTTCTGAAGCTTTCAATTGATGACCGCCGCCTTTTGGTGGATTCGATGCTTCCTATATAAAATAAGACACAGTATTAACAGAATGTATAACAGAATGTATAGTGTAAGATATATTTAGTGCACAAAATTCATCGTAATCTCACACCATTTTTTATACACTTTGTTCATAACCAGTTTAAATGTTATTTATTATTCGGTCTAACAATTAATGTTAGTAAATGCAAACGTAATACAGCATGCGTGTTATCTCATTGTGATTTATATTTGTCCGATTATTAGAAATAATTTACCACAAAGTTAATTGGAAATAACATAAATTCAGATGTTAGGCAAGCTTAGTGTAATATAATGCAAAATTAAAATGATATATACTGTTCAAGCAAGACATTGAATGTTTTTCCTGCACCAAAATTTCTTTTTCGCTTTAGCTAAATATCAAACGTATACCTATTTTATTTGAAATTCCAAAAGTGTACGTTAGTTTAGTTATAAAAAACAGACTTAACATAAATTGAAACTGATATCAGACACATAAGCAATAATTGAAGCAATAAGTATTGTTTTCAGTTAATGCGGATATTTGATTAACATAAAGTTATATACAGCTTTTTAGTAGACATTTGCCTATCATAACAATCGTATCAATATCAAAACAAATTAATAGAAGTTGATATATGATATATGACAAGATGCAACGATATATATCATCACAAAATGTTTTGTTGATTGTAGATATATAATTCAAGACATATAATTTAAAAACGTTAAAAACCAACGGTGTACAAAGAAAGTTACCTTCTGCCAAGATAGACCAGCACCAAACACAGAGAAACACAGACAGGAAACAGAGAAACAGTGGTTATTTTGTAGTACATATAAGATAAAAATGTTCATGTGAAAACTTACATATAATTAAGCATATCTTTCTCGAATTTATATTATTCTAATTATTAATATCTCTATGTATAATAGATTTTTACATGTGTCATGGCTTTACACATTGAAACATGGCTTTACACATGAATACTAACTATAACATATTAATTCCAGAAATATGAATACTAATTACAGAGTAATCTATATTCGGACAATCAGTATCTGTAATATCTTGAAATATATATGATACGATTCATGTTTCCTCACCAGTTTCTTTTCCATTTTCGCTTTGATATCACGTGCCAGAGTATAAAAAGCCTCTTCCACATTGATACTAGATTTCGCCGAGGTTTCCATAAACTTAATGCCATATTCCACAGCCAGTTGTTCGCCCCTTTCCTTCGTCACTTGCCTCTTGTCTGTAAGCTCACACTTATTGCCTAATAACATTTTTTCCACATCCGCTGACGCATTCTCCTCTATATTACGAATCCAGTTTTTAATGTTTTCAAAACTTTTATCGTTTGTAACGTCGTACACCAACATGATTCCCATCGCGCCACGATAATACGCTGTAGTTATGGTACGAAACCTTTCTTGTCCAGCGGTGTCCCTACAAGTGCAAAAAATACATTCAATTATATTGCAGTACGATCTACATCACGACTTTATGAGACTAAATTGCTCTCGATGTGACGAACGAAAAGGAAGAACGTAAAGTATATTTACCATATTTGTAGCTTAATTTTCTTTCCGTCCAATTCGATGGTACGAATCTTAAAGTCAATGCCTGAAACGTACAAGGAAATAGTATAATAGAATCAAGATTCCAGCTACTTTCCGGAGATACGGGGAAACGGAAAGCAGCGGATCTCGAGGTCGGATAGCGCGCGGCACAGGATGAATCACATTACTGTAAACGGCGCAGCATAATGCGCTCTTTGTCTATTATCGAATAACATTCGGCCTGTTTTCTCGAGAGAGACACACCCCGGTCCGCGCCACCGAAGGCAGCGATTAATAAACGTAGAAATGAGACGGAGGTCGCGGGGGGGAGGTGGGAGAGAAACGTGTGCCGACACAAACGTACCGATGGTCGAGATGAAGGTGGTGTTGAACGCGTCCTCGGAGAATCGGAACAGCACGCAGGTCTTGCCTACGCCGGAGTCGCCGATCAGCAGCAGCTTGAATAAATAATCGTACGTCTTTGCCATTGTCGCTGCGATGATGGCACGGGATCGTCGCAGCCGCTGCTGTGCTTCCCCGAGCGATTATTATCGCTCACTACGAGTTCCGGGCGCTTCGCGGACGATACTTCCTGACGTTCGTGACGGGCCCACGAATTCGCAACACCAGCTGGCCGAGTCTCTCTATCTCTCTCCCTCTTGAGGTCCTTTTTATCTCTCTCTCTCTTTCTCTCTCTCTCTCGCTCACCACCGAAGATATCTAACCGTCTCGTCCGCGAGACATTTGATGAGGCGCGTTCTCCTTCCTCCGATGTTCGCTCGCTCGCTCGCTCGCGCTCTCTCTCTCTCTCTCTTTCTCTGTCTCTCCTTCTCTGTCTGCTCCTGGCTCTCCCGACGGAATCTCGACTTTTGGACGCGATGACAGTACAGACGGGCGGTGACGCGTGGATCTACCGCGCGCGAGAAATCGCGGGAGAAGGGAGCTCGCTCGCGTAACCCTCGTACACGCTCGTGACCGCGCGACCGCGAATTAACAAAGCGTATTAATCGCGCAAAACATTTGTGTCACACAAAAAAGCGGTGACAGCCGTCCGTCCGCGAACTCCGACGCGATTTCGCCCCCGTGTGGTGGCCACCATGCGCCACCGAATGCGCGTGCGCAACACGTGTTTCGTCTCGCGGCGATCTCGAATTCTCGAACCGCGTCTACCTCAATTACGATGAGGATCAGAGTCTTTGTAAGTCCTGTTCCTTTTAGCTGAATATCTGCAGATCACAGATATTCAGATGCGACGAGATCGCGAAGGGATTCTGTCGCGTTTGTCGCCAGGTATTCAGAGATCATGTTCATGATTCATAATAATAAAGTTTTAACCCTCGGAAACTGATGGTGGATTTATTAGATCCACTCAATCGTGGGTGTTTTACAAGCAAGAAAGACTCAGATAATACAGGGTTTTCCTTTTAGGAGATACAACTGATTATTCTATTCTTCTTGACGTTCAAGGAATAACATAGATAAGACGACACTTGTAGATGCTTTTCAGCAAGACAGGATGATACAGTATAATTACAGTCATTATATCTTTGTTTGTCAATGTTAAACAAAGATGAAATGATTCACTGTGTTGCACCGTCATTTGTCTCTTGCTGGAAAACATCTTGTTTCTTCTAAAAAGAAAGTAGCTGCTAATGCATGATTTATATGTGGATGACACAGGCTACTTTCCTTTTAGGAGACACAAACATGATTTTATCTTTCTTGAATTCAATGAATAACAAAGATAGAAAGACACTCATGTCGACAGTATATTAGTATTCATTCTTTTTTATACGAGTTATGTGTCATTTTGGTTCCTTGAAATTAATTAGTGCCTTTTAATCAACATAAATTAAATGGATCTCATAGATCTATCATTATAGATTTTGCCGTCAGTTTCGGAGGGGTTACATTCAAGATTTCAAGTCTACAGTATTTGACCCAAGATTTTATCCAGCTAATGAAATAAAGATTCCTCTTCCATATCGCTTCTTTTCTTTGAATGTCTTCGTCAAAGGAAATAAATTAGAAACATCTGGCAAGAATAGAAACTTTATTGAAACACAAACATGTTTTACTTTCCTACATCCTTTTTCCTAGATTACATTGACTTTTTCTTTTTTCTTAGCGCGAAACATTAATACATACAAATCATAAGTTTTTCGCTATCTTGGTTCTCATTAAAAAAAGCTTTAGAAACCTTAAAGACCAGTATTACTTAAATTTTGTTTTTTCTTAGCAAACATTTCAGGTATAAACCATGCAAGTTTCTTAATCTATCAGAGCTCTCATTAAAAAGATTTTAGCTTGTAAAATTGAACATTTAGGCCTTAATTAAGATTTGTTCTGGCCTCGTGCACCATAAATATTTAAAATTGATTTATCTTTCTGTATTACAGCAGAGAAATCGATTAGACAAATCAGCATTACGTACTATGTTTATTTTAATCCTCTATTTGACAGGAAAAAAAGCGACTTGCCTTCACGTTCTTTTTGTGTTGAAATAATTTTTCATTCAGTGATGCGATACACAACTCTTTCTGGCCACGCAATTTTTCCAAGTCAATGACTTAAAATTAATAAATAAAAAGCTATGGCTGGATCTGTCAGATATTAAATAACGCTCATCCTGTACGTACATATGTAATATATATATATATCACACATACAAGAAAAACAAACTTTTAGAAATAACTTTCAAATTACATTCTCTGAGATTATGAGAAATAATTTTAGTTCATATAGATATCCAAGATACGCCAGAGCATTTTTATTATAATCTTGATATAAGCTTATTTAGCAATAACATTAATAGTTAATTAACAGTTAAAAGCGAATATTAATTATACAAATAAATCAAACTATATTGCGCTTGTGGATTATTTATAAATAAAAGTTGATGAAAGTAAGTTCTATGTGTTTCACACACAGAATTGACTTATTAAAATTTTAACACATTAAAATGGTCTGTGGCTTAAAAACAACTCATAAAAATATATAATACTTAATTTACAAATTATCTTAAGTTAATATCATTAAGTATTAAATCATTTGTTATTCCGGTATATTGGATCCTACAAAAATCCTGAAATGGATAAAAATATCTTGAAAATGATCAAAGATAAAAAAAACATAGGTACAATTTTTTTAGTCTTACAACTTTACTTTTTATATATTTTTCGCCATAGTTGATCGTTATCGAGATATATTAGCATTTCCGAACTTTTTAATGGATTCTGTATAAATTGATAATATAATTCCAAATTTCATTCCATTTTGAGATATAAAATTCCTCCAAAAAACACGTAATTTTGTAAAAGATCCTAAATTGTTTATTCCTAAACTTCACATTAAAAAAGAGAAAATATAGTTAACATTAATAATTTTTTAAAATTTTCATTTTTTTACGGATATGGTAACAAATCGATTTTATATATATATATAGGAAAATTTTTTAGTTTCTCCCTTAGAAGAAGAAAGGACAGCATATGATACATGCGTTTCTTAATATTTACATGAATATAATTAAATAAAATACTTAAAGTTTCTTGAAATTCTCCCCTCTCCTAAAATTTTTAATCAGTATTAATAAAAGACGCTTTCAAATTTCAAGAGAAAGAAGAACTTATATAATAAACTACATTAACAAAAAGAAAGATCGAGGTACACGCTATCAAACTACGTATCTTCACACAAATTTATATTTCGAGACTTCATTTGCAGTTCAAACCGTCGATTTGTTCGTACACCCTTCAGTATCATCCGCGCTTCATGTTGCTGTTTTTGCCTACAAATGTTCACAATTTTATAAAATTTTATATTGAATTATTATACTTTAAAGTTTCTTACACATAGATCTATAAGTACATTATTTAATTTAGCATTTAAATCCTTTCATCATTAGTCATCCTATAGCTGCGATAATATATGTTCAATAAAATTTAATAAAACTCAAATTATATATCTTAAGCTTGTAATATAGATAAAAGCACAATCTTGTAAATAAATTGCTTTATAAAATATTTTTCTTAAAATAAATTTAGTATACCTTGAAAAAACAGTTTGCTTTTTCAACATAAGATGCGTAGCTTCTGACTTTTTCAATTTAAACCCAAATCTGTTATGAATACCATCCTTAGTGTCACTTGGTAATAGTTTCTTCTGTTCCGATTTCGTATCTTTTGAAAATGATTTGTTCGTAGCTACAAAAATGATTTATTAGCAAAATTATTAGCATTTATAAAAGTTGTCGACGTATGCAGAATAATAATATTATCAAATTACTGAACGCTAAATGTCTAGCTTCCAAACGTTTCTTTGCATCTACAAGCGATTCTGATTTAGCAAACATTTGTTCATGTATTCTTCCGAAATTTGGTACTTTTTTCAACGATGATTTTTTCTCTGAAAATAAATCGGAATGTTATTAGAATATAAAATAAAATCTAAACAAATGTAAAATACGAATGATTTTTTGTTTCACCTGATTTCTTTTCAATTGATGCAAAGGTTTTTGGTGTTACTTGAATTGTATTCAACTGAACTACCGGTGTGCCTCCGTGTGTTCTTGGATTTGAGTTCTTGAAAGGAGAAATCAGCGTATTCCGAGTAAACTTTGCAGTTTCAGCTTTTTTCGATTTTTGTGTTGAATTCATAACATTGTTTCTATGCTGTGCATTAACATTATGTAATATACTCGATCGTGATTCGTTCAGCTTGTTAATTGAGTTTTGTGCACTATGTGCGTCAGATGATATATCCGCAAAACGCACTTTAGCTTTTTTAACGTTACCTCTCAAGACGCTTAAATTCGCGTCTGTTGAATTGCGCTTTCTGATCATTTGTCGTAAGCTTAGTGTCTGTGGTTGTTCCAATTCATAGGTATTGTTCTCTTGCTTCTTTTCCACCAAATCATCCTTGTCGTAAGTAGTGTTTAGTTTCGTGACATTTACAAGGGGAGATTGACTAGTATCACTAATTTCTTTATTAAAAAGAGAAGGTGAAAATACATCTTCAATGTCTGTGTTTTTATCCATTGTACTAGCTAGCTGCATGTTGGATTGATATTTTGTCTGTCCTTGACGTCTTAATCTGGTATTAAGAGAAGTATTATTTACAGAATCAATAGAAGTATCAGACAACAAACTAGTGTTTCTTGATATCATTTTTTCCTCTCGTGGAGTAGACGACACTAAGGGCATCTTTCCTTGTATTAATGTATTATATTTAAGTCTTGATATTTTATTAGCATTACTAATTCGTGGTTTCTCCATACTATTACTTTTTAATTCAGAATTAGAATTTCGCTTAATAGAAACGTCCTCAACTGGTATTATTATTACTTTCAAATTGTTCCTTGTCCCATTTGAAGATCTTACTTTGATCAAAGTATCTCGAGTTTTACTAGTGACTACATGTTTTTGTTTCATGTTTTCGGGCGATAACTTATCCAATACCACTACTGGTTTAGCCAGCATATCTTTCATTTGTGAAGCCGTCAATATCTTTGTTAATTTTGGACTTAAACAATGTGATTTGATTGATGATAAATTCTTTCCCTTGGATAAAGGAGATTTTTTTGAGCTAATTTTGGACGATTTGTCAATCTCAAGATTTGGTGTAGTATTAGGACTAGTAGAAGGCGTTATTCTCGGGCTCTTTTGCATCTGGGGTGAAGATAATAATTTTAATTTACGTGATTTTGATTTTTTCGATTTTGGAGACTTCAACACTATTTTCGGAGATTTCGAGAATTTATGTACAATTAAATTTAAGTTAGACGTCTTGTGATTATTTTTTGCTGTTGGCGACATTGATGCATTTTTATCGGCCTTGGAACTATTGCCTAACTTGTCCTTTTTACTCTTTCGTGATTTCTTACTGTGAGAATCACTATCTGATTTTTCTAAACTCTCTTCAGAATCCTCGCCTGTGGCAGCAAGAGATAACTTTCGTGGACTCTTAAATAGCTTCGGTACGGCTATTGAGTGTGTCTTTGGAGAACCTATGGAGATTGGTGATTTTTTGGGTGTCTTTTTAGATCTGTGCGGTGTAAGACTAAACTTGGGAGGTGTACTCTTAGGAGTAACTATGACAGGCGATATCTTTGTACTTGTGGCAGAGATATTCCATTGTAATTTTCCATTAAGCATTTTCTCCGAATCCCGATTTGTTGAGGCATTGTATTGAAATAAATTAGTCTTGACAAGTTCCACCATTGCAATATTGTTGCAATGCTTGTCTCTTAATATTCTGATTGATTCACTGAGATCCATATTCTGGCCTTCTTGTGATATAGATGTATCTGCTTCTTTGTGTAAATAAAGCTTTCGACGAGTAGTTTTCTTCTTTGTGGACTTTTTAAGCGTTACCTCCGGATCAGATGATTCTTTTTTGGCACTTTGTTTAGCGGCTGTTTCCAAATTACTCTCAACATTAGATTTCCTCTTTCTCTGCGACTGTTTGACTTTCTGTGCTGACTTGACCACATCCTGGCTTACTTTTACTTTTTGTGTCTTAGATCTAGTGGAAATAGCAGATTGTTCTGCCGTTGCTGCAAACAATAAAATATTATATAATATAATAATATATAATATAATAATATAATAAAACATTATATAATATAATAATATAATAAAACATTTCAAAACTATCTTTCAAATCATTAAAAGTTTTATGAAAAATCTAAGACTGACTTCAGGCTTCAATCAAACTCCAATTAACTTAGCAATTAAGTATTATATAATTATTATATTTAAGTTTTTGAAAAAGATAGAACTATTAACTATTGTTTTACAAATGTTCATTTCTACCAATGTAAACTAATTTTAATCTTGATTTAATTTATTCTTGGTTTTTATCTAATTTTGAAAGTTAGAAAAAAATAAAAGTTAAATCAAGATTAAAGTTAATGTAATGTAATTGTTACAGAATTGAGTAAAAGAAAGATTGTGAGACCTGGTTTCACCAATGTAAAATTAACTTTAATCTCTGTTTAAGTTACTGTTTATATTTTTCTATTTTTCAGAATTAAAAAAAGATGAGGAGTAAATTGAACCAAAATTAAAATTCATCTTACATTGGTGAAACCGGGTCTAAGGATGACAAATTATACAGTTCGGAATTCCAGCAAACAATTTTGCTGGTCAAGTTTGGAGCTTAAAGTCGGAATCGCTCTATGACGGGAATCGAATAATTTTCTCGACCAAGTCGATAACATAGCGTCTCGAGTTCTCGAAATCCATGCGAAAAGAAACGCATATCGCGTACGAGGAAAGCTATAACCTTGCACTTGAAATGAAGGAGGGAAACATCTAGAAATATATATATATATATATATACATATCTCTGTCTTACCTGCTCGAGTTCGTCTTGGCGACATCCGTCCTGATTTCCGCACCCTTTTGCCACGTAGTCGCCTTGTCACGAATGCACCTCCGACACTCCGGCGCAGTCCGATCTTCCCGCTTTTCTGATGACTTGTTTGGATTTGGATGTCTATTTAACTTGAACGTGGACTTAGTGAAATCCGCACGAAACAGCTTGGCTGTGTGTTTACGCGCCTATTTCAACGGCCAATTGCGACGCTCGAGCAATTCCCCTCATCACAGAACGCCCCTCATCCAGGAACGCGCGCGCCAAATTGGTCAACGTTGCGGGCCCGAACTGCCTGAAGTTTTAAATGGCGTAACCGACGCCAAACAGCACATAAATAATCGCGTTTGGTGCGTAGACTGCTTGAAGGAGCGCTTTAAAAAGCTTGAAATAAAAAATTAAAAAGGCTCGAGCAACTTGTTTAATGGCGAATATGCCGCGAAAATATATGTTGACTTTTATAAACGCCGTTTTGGACATAAAAATTCGACCAAAGAATTGCTGATTGGTTAACGACTGTAATGGTTGGTTTTAATGTGAAATTTAGAGCCTCTACACACATTTTTCTCGAAGTTAATAGGTCTGTTCTTTTTGGCTGAACTTTTGCACCAGTTCGTCTTTCTTCCTCTTCTTTCCTCGTGGAAAAAAAAGGAAGAAAGGTGAACTGGTGCAAAAATTCAGCCAAAAAGAACAGGCCTATTAGGGCGCGTTCACACCTTGACGGAAAAGCAAAAAGCGGAAAAGCAGCAGCCAATCAGAATTCGCGCTGGTAGTCGACAATTTCGGCTTTTTGTACTACTTATGCGGGGTCTATAATATTAATGGATACTAATTAAAAATAATTTGCCTAATGTTTGTTTTTAAACTGAATCTAGTTCACTTGATTTTAAATTGTAGCAAGTACATGGCATACCTAGCAGCGACGAACGCAGATACTTAGAACGATTTGGTGATATAGCTGCTTTCTTAGGCACAAATGTCTATCATATATCACACATCCAAGTTTTTATATACAAAACTATTGTAGAGGATGTAATATCTCACAAAGAAATTGGAGGAACGACAAACAAACTGGAGAAAACTAAATCTGAAAATGTAATTAAAAGTTGTCGAATACAAAACTATAATTGTTAATAATTACAAGACGCAAACTATGTCGAATTTCTAGTTCAAGTTTCTACCAAGTTTCTAACTTCTAACCTCGAATTCGTGTTTATACCTTACACATGTGTCCCGCCATATTGTTTTACAACATGTTGAGCTGAAGTAGCGGAGAAAAAGTTTGATGCAAAAAATGGCGTCCGCTCACTAAACATGTTGAGTATCGGTTACTGAGCGGAGTGCGTTCAGCAGACTTTTATGCAACAGTTGTACAACAGTTGAGTCTGCTGAACGCGACCATTGTAGACCCCGCATTAAAACACCTATTGTAGATCCGGACTTACTACCAGCGCGAGTTGTGATTGGCCACTGCTTTTCCGCTTTCTGCTTTTCCGTTAAGGTGTGAACGCTCCCTTAGGTGCATCCAGAAGCACGACCGCTCACTGAGCGCTCAGTGAGCTCTTGCATCTGATTGGCATATTCCATTAGAACTAAAAATATAGACCAAACAGGTACAAGAGCTCAGTGAGCAGTTGTCGTTCTGAATGCACCTATTGCACTCATTTTGAAATGCTTGACTGTGATTAGCTGATTTGCTTACGGCTTTACGATTACGACTGAAATTTTTGTGATACATGCATAATTTTTAATTACAAATTTTTTGTCGTTTGAACAATTGATGCACATATAAGACATGTACGAGAAGAATAGATGTAATCTCTCAGATGCAATAATAAGAATAGATGCAAATGTCGTTTGAAGTACAATTACAGTACATGAATTTTATACAGAATGATTTATAATAGGAAACAAAATGTTTTTTTCTTTTAATTTAATAAAAAAATATAATAGGATACACTATTTAGTCGATCCTGAGAAAGAAATAAGACTAGTACGATGTCGAAGTGTTTCGTGAGTAACAAGAAACTTATTTACACTTTCTTGTAACGACAATTTCGGAATCAAGGTTAAACAGGATTTGCGGTTTCCCAAACACGGTCAAACGATAACATCACAGAACGTGGGAGTACTGTAATATGCGGGGATATGTGGTGACTGGTGTTCCGATGAAAAACTGACTTTGACTGGCTTGAGAGTTGAAAGTGCAGCACAGCATTAAATTATTGTGCAACGTAGCCGCTATAAATTTTTTTAAACATGTATGTGTACAATATATTATCTAAATTAAAGCTATATCTTAACAAAAGATTTTTTTATTATAAACTGATACTACAGTTCCTATAAATTTAGAGAATTTCATAAAAGACGTATTCTCATTTGCCACTGTTTAAATATGAAGATAATTCTCTCTGTCTGTTTGCTTTTATATTAGATATTATTAATGTACTCAGTAATAATATCGAATAGAACCTGACTTTGTATTCTAATTATAATTTAATAATTTTATATGTAAAGGATAGTATCATATTTATTCTTGTTATAGGTATAAAGTCATTGTTAATCTCATTGTTATTATTTCTTTAACACGAGGACAAGATTATTATGAGATCCTTGGTATAAACAAAACTGCTGATCAGGATGATGTCCGAAGAGCTTTTAAGAAGCTAGCTATTCTTTATCATCCTGACAAAAATATCGTATGTGAATTAGAGTATAGTATACCATTATTGTTTTCTTTGTTATATTATATTGTCAATAATGCTTCAGTATTTTCCAGGATGATCCAAATGCTCATGATAAGTTTGTCAAATTAACAACAGCCTATGAGACATTAAAGGACAGTGACTTAAGACATAAATACGATCTTTATGGAGAAGATGGTCTCAATCAATCTCATAAGAAACAAACCTATCATTCTTGGAATTACTATCAAAACAGTTTTATATACGATGATGACAAATATGTTATTAATTTGGGAAAAAATGATTATTGTGAGTATATAATAACTTTCTTTATGCTTGTCTCATTAAATATGAAATGACATGTATTAATGTTAAACTGCCAAATATTTAAAATTAAGAACTAAACTGAATAATATTATCTCTGTGTGCAGATGAAAGTGTTATTAATTCTCATTCAAGTTGGTTTGTAAACTTCTATTCTCCGATGTGCAGTCATTGTCATCACTTAGCACCGACTTGGAAGAAAGTTGCTAAGTTACTTGATGGTGTTATAAAAATTGCAGCAGTTAATTGTGAATATAACTGGCAACTGTGTCTCCAAGTAGGAATCCGTGCCTATCCTGCGTTGCTCTATTTTCAAAAGGTATACAGAGAGAGAGAGAGAGAGAGAGCTTGATTTTTCTTTAGAATCTTAGACTATATAATTTTTAGGAAATTATATAATTTCTCCATAGTTTTAGATATTTCTATGGATGATATTTGTTGATTAAATCGGCAAGAAATACTAATTCACCTTTTGTCTCAAAGAATTCACAGCACGGGGAGCATTACAGAGGAAAAAAAACACAGGAAGCCATCACACGTTTTGTATTAGACAGACTGAATATTCATATACATGAATTAAGTGAATTTCATTTCAAGGAGTACTTAACTGGCAAGATTGTAAAGAAAATGCCTGTGTTAATATTTATATGCGATGATCAACAGAATTGTTTCACCCCTGATGAAAGGATTAAAGTAACGGCTACATTTGTAAGTGTTGTGTTATTTTTATTGAAATATGTTACTAAGACTATTAAACAGCATTGTAATAGCGCTTTTTTTTTCCAGGACAAGTTGATTGATGTGAAAATGTTTACATGCAAGAATGATGAGTGTCATGACAAGATATACTATGATACAAACGCTGTCTATCTACCGATATATAATAAATCTTTTTGGGAGCCTATATACTTTGATGGCATATTTGATATAAATACATTAATAGAAAAACTTTTAGACCAATTGCCTGGTCCACAAGAGCTATCTGACAATGAGTTTAAAGTAAAGTGTTAATTTGTTATTTATACTTGTACATTATTAGTTATATTAATAATTATATATAATATATATGTAATATTATGTTATATATTATATATAATTAATTAATATATTATTAGAGAGAGAGAGAGAGAGAGAGAGAGAGAGAGAGAGAGAGAGTTTTATAGTATTACTATTAATTTATGTATACAATTTTTACTTTTAACACAATTAAAAGAGGAAGATCAAAGAACATGTTGGTGCCTAATATCATTTTTTTGTGACTCTTATTTTGAGGGCACCAACCAATATTCTTCTTTTCTTAATTATGTTGAACATTTCTTGGTCAATTTTGATTTATTATCGTTTTACTTTAATTTTTATCGAAAGTATTCATGGTTTACAGCGTATTAAGAAAATGAAGTCCGATGTTTCCTGGCTTGTATGCTTTTACATGGGCGACATTGGAAATTTACGAGATTTGAATCTGCAAACGAAAAAGTTTTCACCCAGTGGTATTAAACTAGGTAGTTATTTTTAATCCACGTTAATAGATTTATTATTAAATATAAAATATTTTTACACAATATATGAAATACTATCTTTCAGGTAAAATAAATTGTGGCAGAAACGGGCAGTTTTGTTCTAAATTAGGTGTAACACGATATCCAATTTGGGGCATGCTTAAGCCGAGTGGAGCGTTTGAATTTCATCACGGAAGTAATCTCAATAATGATATTATTAAATTTATGCAAATTAGTATGAAAACTACAAATGTTTGGGCTCTCTCTGCAGAAAAAGTGTTATCGATATTACAAAGGAACAATGGTATTATATTGTAAACGTAAACACATTTTTAACAGATTTCATGATGCTAACTGTAGTAAAATATTACAGGAGATGAAGTATGGTTTCTAGATTGGTTTACACCGTGGTGTCCACCTTGTATAGAGTTTCTGTCAGAACTTCGGAAGGCATCGTTAGAATTTGATGGGTCAATAGTTCGTTTTGGCACTATTGATTGTACCGTTCACAATACATTATGCCACCAATACAACATACAGTTTTATCCTACTGCCATGCTCATAAACGGTAGCAATACACATCAGTTCAAGTTATCAAAAACAGCTGCAAATGTTATCTATTTCATTAACGAAAAAAGAAACCCATCAGGTAAGAGATAATATGCCAATAATTTCTTTATCATATTTCC